TGTGGGCTGGGCCAGTTACTGCAGTTCATCCACGAACTAGAACTTGCAAAAAATCAAAGAGCTTAATGCCAAAAACGGCTTTTTCAACCTCCCCCCCCCTTGGAGTTTCTTCAAACTTTGCCTATCGATTACTCATACTTGAGTACTTCTTATTTTCCCAAATTTCNGGGGGGGGGGGGGTGCTTGAGGAGGGGGGGAGTCAAAACCTGTGAACCTCGATATCTCTCGAACGAAGAAAGATGTCGAGGTCCGGTTTGGGCGAAAAATCGTCTAAAATTGCATACTTCAAGATTCCAAAGGTTAAAATTCCGATATCACATTTTCAAGTTAACATATGTGCTTTTTTTTAGTTTTTGAGTTGAGAAAATTTCTTTTAAACAAAAAACTCACAAGGTACTAATTTTTTTAATTAAATCAAAACCAGTTTTTTAAATTGTTTGTCTTTTTTTGCATCCAACGAGTGGTCCATTACGCTGGGGATGTAAACAGTTCCGGAGATATGTGCGATTGCAGTTTCCGCTCAACGCGCGCCGAGCGATTTTCGCGCGCCAAGATGGTTCCAAAGCCGGATTTAGGAGTTATTAGATCAGATTAAATGTTCAAACCGTGCAAAATACATTTTGAGGGATCCTTGAGGGTCGCTGAGTTCAAAAATATCAGATACGAACTTTAAAAATTCATCTCTTTTCCGTATCGCTACTTGACAGGTCCACTGAGCGGCCGGTCTGTCGGTACTCGATAGGCCTCTTAATAACGGAAAAAATGTGAATTTTTTGAAAAATCTGAAATTTTTGAACTCGCGACCCTCAAGAATCCCTAAAACATATTTTGCACGGTTTGAACATTTAATCTGATCTTTAACACTCAAATCCGATTTTGGAACCATATTTTGGCGCGCGAAAATCGCTCGGCGCGCGTTGAGCGGAAACTGCAATCGCACATATAGACCGGGGGCCAGCAAGGGGTAACCCTGCCCCCCCCCCCCCCCCCCCCCCCCCCCCCCCCCCCCCCCCCCCCCCCCCCCCCCCCCCCCCCCCCCCCCCCCCCCCCCCCCCCCCCCCCCCCCCCCCCCC